AGATGGAGGGGTGCACATTGTGCAGATGCAGTAATAATGCATTTTAGGTATGAGGAAAGTGGAATCAGCACTGAAGGTACAGAGAAAAGGGAGGACAGGTATCCACGAAAGATTTAATATCATCATTCAAGGATGCTTTTGCATTTTCACCTGATTTGTGGATGTTTTAATCTTTCCAGTTAAGTAAAACTGTTTTTTAGCAGTGATTATTGATGCTACAAAGTAATATGTCATAATCCTAAGCAGCCTTTCATTGAATTACTGTCCCGGGTGGGTTATTCCTCTGTGATGCCATGCTGGGAAAAAGATTGGTTCATTATTAATTAAAAGCACAAGGTTATGCCCAAATGGAGAAGGAGTAAATGATGAAAGCGCGTAATTAAGAACATCATTTGATTTCCAACAGGAAGTTGGAAGGTGGGGTTTATAGTGTGAAGACTGTGATTGCTCAGGTGGAGTTACTAGCTGCATAGCAAGATGAGTCTGAACCAGATCCCAGCTGAATGTTCAGGAATCACTGCAGATCTGTAAGCCGGATCTAGCCTGGTGTCATATTGCACAACAAGCCAATACTGGTCCGAATCTGCTTTCTGGATTTGAAACAGATAACGGTCATATATGGGCCAGATTTACATTGAATATTACTACATCTGGCTTGTATCTGCACCAGAGTCAGATTGGTGAGTGCTTCAGTGGGCTAAGTCTCCGTGCCTGTGATCTGAGAGTTGCTGGTTCGAGTCCCATGGGACTGGTGATGAAAAGCAATGGACCAGTACTTCTCCAAATAATGTATTTTCCAGACTGACTACTGACCAGCTCTGCTCCCGGATCCTACCTTAACGTAAATGGGTGGTGAGTAACTTAGTCTGAGTCTCCGTGCTTGTGAGCAGAAGGTTACTGGTTTGAGCCCCAGCCTTGGTGGGCCCTTGAGCAAGGCCTTTAACCCCCAGCTCTAGGGGTGCTGTCTGTAGGCTGACCCTGTGCTCTGAACTTAGCCCACTGAGACACTCAGTGCACCCATATGACCCAGATCTGAATTTAACTTTTGACTCTGGTCTGGTCTGATCTGGCCCAGATCCGGTTCAGACTCATCTTGCTATGCAGGTATGCAACTGATGTTTTGATTAAAGGGAAGAAAATAATCTTTTTTCTTTTTTTTTTAAATCAGCACAAGGCAAGTTAAGTGCTTTTCTTTAGGTCCTAAATTAATTATAATCCCAAATCCCAAAGATTTCTTTAACTGTATGCTACATGTTACCCCAATACAATAATAGCATGCATTTTCTAACAGAAAATGAATCATATAAATCAAAGCAAACCCAATAGCTAAAAGCCATATACGAAAAGAGCAGTTATTAAGGAGACAGCACCGAAAAGTGAATATCACCTGTTGTACCTTTGGCATTGCTTCTGTGAATGTTACAGAATGCCCTGATCTTGAGACAGACGTGGTAACTGAGGCTGTTAGTGGTTTTGAAGGGGTGGGGATCGATCTCGTCCAGGAAATGAGGCAGTGGGAATGTTCTCTGTTTGTCAGGCTCATCGTTCTATCTGTTCATCTTCCGCAGCAGCTTAGGCATACAGTTAAGATCACAGTCAAGTTATATTTCTGCAAAATGCAGTAGGACCGGATGCTTGTCTTCTGGGGCACTTTTTTTTCTCTCTCTCTCTCTCTCTCTCTCGCTCTCTCTCACACACACACACACAGACACACACGCACGCATGCCCTGTGCAGAGGAATCTTATTCTAACCTGATGACAGAAGCCTCTACATTCATCTCACAGTTTGCTCCCGGTGACCTGCTCATTTGAGCATATTTTTTTTGCACCGAGTAAACTTCAAAAAGCTCTTTGATGAATACGAAGAGCAGCCAGCATCACTGTGTTCCACCACGATAAATTATCAACAGAAGTGGAAAATTAATGCATTCTGCTTTAATCTCTATATGGAATTCAAAATGGTAAAAACAGTTGAAGTCAGCATAAACACCAATGTGAAGCGGACATGTGGTACTGAATATGTCGAAGAGTAAACGAGGGGACCCCCCCAAAGAAAACATTACTGTAAACGGCTTTTAGACATTTCACGATCACCCGTCACACGTTCTGAGAGCAGAACCTGTTCTTCTGATACTGGTGCTTTGAATGCGAGCTGTGGGATTTCTCGGGTTTCTGTGATGGCGCTGTGACCTTCAAAAAGAACGTCTGACTAAAACGGTGCATGTGACTTGAGGTCACGGTTAAGACGTGACTTTTACAGTTACATTCTTTCATCTATCCAGGTCAGTACTAAGTTAACAGGAAACACTGTGAAACGTTTGTTAATTTCGGAAACATGCCGGATACTAAAGGAAAAAAAAAAATCCGCAAACGAATAACATCCGCAATCTGTTCTCTGCCACTAGATGGAGCAATTTATCCGTCATCAAGGCATAATTTGGAGAAGTAACAGTTTCATGATAAACGGGATTTTTAAACTTCATCCTTCTTCCACAAAACTTATCTAATACAACGTCGTGATGTGAAGGTTAGACACATCGAAGCATAGGGAATGAAGCAGGGACACCCTGGACAGGATGCCACCCTCTTATCTCACAGAAAATCAAGTTAACATTTAAGTTCAATTCCTTCATTTTTAAACATATCAAGCACTATGATGGCTACAATCTCACAAGGACAATAGGAATTTTTCAGCTCCATTATAATCAGTGCTTGTGTCACGTCCTGTCCGGTATGTATGCCTGACCCGCCTCTTTTCCCCCTGGGTGTAGCCTAACGTGTCACGCCTGACATCATCCTGCCTCTTTATAGCTGCCCTTATGTTAATGACGTCCAGCTGTCTCCCATTTGCCACTGCGTTACCTGTGCTTATAAGTGCTGCCCAGTCTTTTCTTCCCCAGTT